ATTATTTTGCTTACATACCAAACACTGTAATGTTATTTTCCTTGTAATCACATTACTTGCAATCATATTACTTGCAATCATATTACCTGTAATCACATTGCATTGTAATGTACCAAACGCCACCTAAGTGCTGAAAAGGAAAACAGGTAAAAAAGAAAAAAAAAAGAAAAAAAAAACCCAATCAATATCACCACCTTTTCCTCCCCTTGTGGTTTTGGTTTTTTATTGGGTAACGTGAAAATCAATAGTCACTTAGCCTTATTAGCATAAGGTTTGGCCAGCCTAAGCATCCCCTTCTTTCTTTAGAGTTTTTTTCTCTAAACATTCCCATGGATTACTGTTAGAGGTTGTACAAATGGGTAGTTTGTCATTTACGACAAACTAAAACTTGTGGGTTGACTTTGGTAAATCAACTTGTTGACACTTTTTCATTTTGACATCAAAGATCTTAAAGGTTTACGATTCTTCTACCAATGATTGTGTTTTTACATTAAATAAAGCAAAAGAAGATCCCACTGGAAGAGAAAAATTTTAATTTTTAGTTGCACTTTGTATATGATGTATGGTTTTCCCCCCAAAGTGGCAGTTGCACCATTTGGGCTTCCTCTTCTAAGATTGCCCTCTTTTCTTTTTTTTTTACAATTAAGTCTAACTTAATTATTTTATTTTATTTTCTTACTAAGCCATTCTTAATACGTGTAACCAATTAAGTTCTTAATATGTTGACAATAAATATAAAATATAATTTGAAGTATGCATTAATTAAATGAATCAAGCTCCTTTGCATCCATCCTCAATTCTCAAATTGATTAGATTATATTTATAAGTCAAGATTGGAATAGTAATGCATTATAATTACTCAAATGCTAAAAATAATGAGAATGGTTTGACTCAACTTTGTAATGAATAGTCTTCTTGTGTGATTAGTATTTTTTTCATCTACTAATATCCTTGTGAAACATAAAATATGGTTCACTATTTACTCCATGTTGTTTATTGTAATCAACTTCTTCTCCAAACATAAAATAATTATTACTGTCCAAAGAGTTTGAATAGGGCTTGGAATTTTAAACTTATCCATAATTATTTAAAATAAAATATATGCACAAATCAAACTAGTGAGTGCAAAAAGATTATCATAGAAGTAGATTTGTGAAAAACAAAGGTCAAAATAAGAAAGAACTTTAAAAATAGATCGTATAGCAACAAGGACCGGTCAAAGGCACTTGAACCGGACTATTAACCTCGATCAATGGACTGAATAGGTCAAACTTGAGTAGTCAACTAATGATGTGGCTCAATAAAACATCAGCATGTGGTGCACGAAACAATCAAAATTGCGGACACGTCAGGGATGTGGCCCACTACCTGATAATGGACAACATGTGGTGGACCTCTTAAGAGTTGACATGTGGTGGGAGAGTGTTGATGTGGCAAAACCAGGTCTGTTGGAACTCATGCGTGGGGTGTGTCGATTGAAGCAAGTGGAGTTTGACCTGTCGCATGCAGAGGCACGGCGATGCTGATAGGAAGCTGTATTTGTCGAAGATACATTGAGTGCTGAAAAGATGATATTCAGTGTTGGTTCGCATAAAAGACTAACAAAAAATCCCATATCTTGATAGACCGAACGTGGAGGAGAGAGAATTCTGGCCTAACTAGAAAAAGAAATTCCAATAGAGCTGATGCTCGAATTAAAACCAAGTTGCATTGGATTACCAAGTATTTCAAAAGTTTAAGCTGGTAGAAAAATACCCAACCATTATTTTTAAGTTCTAACTTGTCTCTCCCCGTGAAAGCTGGATGAATGATTAATGGGCTCAGCAGAAGCGTGTTTTTCAGAACTCGAATTCAAGAACCCTAAAACCACGTTGAAAGACAAGATGGCTGTATTTCTATGATATCAAACATAGAATTAAGTTGGAGAATCCCATCAATGGCTAGAATCAAGCTAAATCGAGAGAGCCAACACGGGGTAATTCGGCCATTCTTCTCTTTTCCTGTACTTCCTTCGTAGGCACTCCAGTATATCTTGGTACCATCTCCCTGAAATTGGTGGTTTTAGGCACTTCAGTGTATCTTGGTACCATCTCCCTGAAATCGGTGGTTTTAGGCACTTCAGTGTATCTTTGTACCATCTCCCTGAAATTGGTGGTTTCAGTTGAGAATCTGAGAACACTTGTTTTTGAACGTTTCCTGAAAATATTGAGATCTTAGTTAGATCATGCAAAAGTACAGACATCCAAATTTATGACCAGTACTCTTTGTGAGTCTTATGTGCAACTTTATATATGTTGCTGGAATTTGTTTTAACTGTCCGTTCTTTTCGCCGTTGTAAGAGCTTCTCCAAGGATTCACGTCTAACAAAAGAATGACCAACCTCTTTATCCAGTACTGATCTCAATAAAACAACTGATGCTGCTTCGGGATCCATTGGTACCCCCTCATACGTGACATAGGACTGTTCTGGGATTTTGATGGTAAGATGATTGGAAGCCCGAATTATTTGAGAAAAGGCAGATAATGATGAAGTTCTGGTAAGCTGTGACTCAGGATGGTTATGCCGAGCTTTATGAATAATCTCGATTATCTGTCCATCTAATGACCTATCAACTGACTTCGTAGCTGGGCAACCGGGGTGTGCACACTTGTAAAAACTCCGTCTTCTATTTCCTATCCCATAACACCTCCAAGTATATGCATCATCTGATTTTCTGCTCTTAACTAAATGAGAGTATTGTTTGCAGTAATTGCCATAATTTGCTTGTAAATTACCCTTGCTTTGACTCTGTTTGGCAACTTCTTCAAAACTCTGCGCTTGTAATCGCGCCTGAAATTTGAACAAATCCAATAAATTGTTAATTACTGCCAGACAAGGTTAAGAGCGTAAACAAGATTAATTACGTACTGTTGGAACTAAAGATACATACAGTTGGAAGTGTGTTTGCTGAAAGTTGAGACATCGTTGTTGAAATAGTAGAGGGGCTTGGTTGGGACAAGTGACAGACGTCAGCGGAATTATTCTCTTCCCGACCGATGCTTGTACCTTGCTGGTTGTTTCCATACATTGGCATGGGCACCGACATCATCAGTGCCCCATTAGGCATTGGTATAGCCATCCCCATATGCCATTCCCATTCGCACTACCACCACCAACGCCACTTCCTTCGCCACCTCCGCTTCCACTCTCATGAAGACTCCGCTGCACCAGCACTGGTGCAAACCAGCTGATCCAAGACGATGGGCCTTCGTTGCTTAACCCTCGCATTCTTCTAAGGTAAAGCCGATATTTTTGCAAATGACTGGCAACGTTTTCGCGGGTCAAGCCTTCGACATTCATTAACTGCATGATCCTTTTGGGAACCGCATTTTGGATCCCCAAATGGTCAACCACATCAACGAATCTCCTGTGAAGTTCCACCGTCCACACTGAACGCGGCTGTTTCAAAGTCCTTGCCGATGGATTGTCTGAATTCTCCGCCATCGTAACCGCTGAATCCGCTTGTCATTAGTTTTTATAACTATCTAATATCTACTTAAGATAAAATAAAATGAAATGTTTAAAAGTATGTAGGTGCCACTATTAGCTTTATTAAATTAGTCAATTATTTTTCTACTTTGTTGATTACTTTTTTTTAAAATGTTATTATTCATTTATTCTAACTATATATTTAATTATTTCATAAGAGAGAAAAAAAAAAGAAATATAAAGACAATTTTTTATTTATGACGTATAATTGCAAAAATGGAATTTAATTATAATAACATATATAATTTTTTTTTACTCTTTTAAACTATAGTTAAAAAAGATATCCAAAATTATATAAAAATGCAAGAGTAAGACAAAAATTTAAAACATAATTTAAAATTATTACATATTAATAGACTATTAATTTGTATTATATTTATTATTTTTAATTAAATTAATATTTTAAAAATAAAATTATACTTAATTTAAGTTTAAATTGTTTCAGATTAATCATATCATATTCAAATTGTTATAAATTCAAGTTATCTGGAATTCAAATCTATTTTAAGTATAGATCAGTTTTGATTTAAGTTTGAACAGATTCAAGTTTTTTAGATTCGAATGAACTTACCAGAAAGGATATTAATTACTCAGTAATAGCTAAACAACAAAAAATTACTGGCCAAAAGAACAAAGACAACAAATATTCAGAAAATTTGTTAGTCAAATAAAACAATTACTGAAGAAATTATGAGGTTCTTGCCAAAAGTGTGATGGCCGGGTCACTGAAGATATGCTTCAGTGGCTTCATAACTCGAAAGCGGCGGACCGAATGGATTCTAATGAGCCTGAATCCATAATGAGTCAATTAAAGATACATGGAATTGCAGGCGTGGAGGTAAGAAGGGTTTCAGAGGAGAGAGTTCCGGTGTCCTTTATAGATCGAGAATTAATGGAGAAACACAGAACTGAAGGTTGGGTAAGGTTGGGAATATGGCTCTGTAATTTTTGTGATTGGAGCCTGGCTGTTAATTGGGGTAAAAGGAGATGTTGGCTAGTGATTTCAGGGGTTCCAATTCATTCAAGGGGCCCAATGACCTCCAAAGAAATTGCAGCTTTGTTTGGTGATTTTGTGAGCATGGGAGAAGAATGTTCCAAGTTTGCGAGCTTTGAAAGGTGCTTCATGCTGATTAAAACGTCAATTAAGACAAAAATTGAATAGCGGAGCTGGTGGTAGAGAATAAAAACTACGTCATACAGGTGATGGAATTCTACCCAGAGGGGTTGCTTGAATTTCCTTCTGATTATTGACAAGCAACTGGGACCAGAAACCAAGTGGGAGTTCTGCATCGATTGCAAATGATGTTATAAAGTGCCCAGTTCAAAGCATGAAGAAAGCACTTGGTCCAGAGTTTGTGGCGGGGGAAGCTTGGAGGGGAGAGGTGATCGCATTCGCAGCCCACCGTAATATGGGTCAAAGGGACGGGTTGATTCCGTGTGGCCAGAATTACATGGATTAAGGCCTCATCCAATGGGTCAGGTGCAAAGAAAAGATAGAATCCAGCTTAGTTCCATTGAGTTTGAATCAACTAGAAGAATCAGATTGTTGCATGGGCTAATGGCAACCCGATGGTGATTTAACAAGTAATATGTTGCTTTCCCAAATTGAATCGAGATGGACATTGGGGAAGGACAAAATGAACAAGCTGCAGCCGACTTCTCTGATTTAGACGAGGGGATTGCGGTGGTTGGAACGGAAATCGTTCCTTTTGTCTCGGCAGAGCCGAAAGGCATTGATGAGGAAAGGTTTGGTAATGATTCCGATGGGCAAACACAACCGTTTGAGGAAGCTCTGGTAACTCCCAATTCATTTCAGT